GTACCACCCTCCCTGCTGCAATGTTTCTTAATCTCAGCAAATTTAAGATGTGTGGACTTCAGCTCTCCAAATTCTCTAGCCAAGATGCTCGAAGTTTTTGTTGCAATTTCAACTTAAAACTGGAAGTTGCAAGCAGATCCATCTTTCTGCAGATCAAAGGTGAAAACGTTATTTTAGAGCAGGGTGGGCAAGCTTTTGTGTGGCAGCGACTACTTTGCTGTCAAGTGGTATTCTAGGGATGAACTCAAGAAACAGATGTAGTCAAGAACAGAATTGTGGGCAAGAGTAGATGGGAAAAAGTGAAAAGTCAACCCCCCTTCTCCAAACACACATCCCCTTCATTGAACCAAAACAAAATTTCAGAATTGAGTTCCTATTTTGATTGCCACTAGCGATAAAAAAAAAATCACACATCCAAACAGTTGTTGCCTGATGGCAGGTAGATTCACACAGCCAGGTTATGAAAACTTATTAACCAACAATTCAATCTCATGAATATTGCACAGATATATCAAATGCATTTGAAGATATTGTTATTTTGTCATTGGTACATAATGATCAAAATAAGACCAAAACTCATTGGCTGATAAATTTTTTGGCAGGTGAAAAAGGAAGAAGAGGCAAATCTTAGATATATGAGGTACAGTCTGTAGATTAGAAAACAATTCCTTTTGGAGTTATGTATGTATGTATGTATGTATGTAGCTTCTATGCTGCCCATTCCTAGGCATCTTAAAATCAATAAAAGCAACAAGGTAAAGCATTGAAATAATAAATATTTAAAAATTGACAAAGATGGCAAGGAAAGGAGAAATATGGGAAGTGAGGTCTTATCTTAGTCCACTAACCACTTCCAGAATGACATGTTCACATTGCGGCCCCAGTTAGTTGGCAGAGCCAGTTCTTCAGACCTTTTTGGAAGGCCAAAAGGGTTGATGTGAGTCTCACCTCAGGGGCATTAACTTCTACAGGGTGGAATCCTCAGCAAAAGACACTCTTCAGTTGGAATTCCTTGACTGAGGGGGGTCTGCAGAAATATGATTGGCAACATATCCTAATAAATGTTGAAATTCGTACTTCATTTGGGAGTTCTTTTAATGGAATGTCAATTAAAATATGGATATAAAATTATATGCATGACTACTTTCCTCTCTTTCTTTCCTGGAGGAACTCGAAAATCTGTTTGAAGAACTCCACAATATAACTATATAACTTTGGAATTAAATTTAATCACGTGATCTAAATAAGATGGAACAAGGAACGGAAGTGTATATAGGAATATCTGTGGGTGTGTCTTTTTCTCTGCGTAGACTGTCTATTAATTAAAGTTAATATAATACCTTATTTTGTACATGGATCCTTGAGAAAATTGTACTCCCCAAAGCAAATTGCTGACAGATGCAGAATTGGAACCCAAACTAATACCATTTATCATATGGTGTTTCCTGTTTCTTGACTGAAGCTATGTAATTAGCTTTGCTTTATGGAAAAAAAGGAAGTTTGTAGGAATACAAAAATAAATTCTTTAAAAATATATGGGTGATCATCAATGGTGGGTTGCCCCCAGTTCGGACCGTTTCGCAAGAACCGGTAGTAACACCGGCGGGAAGCTCCGCCCATCGCCCCGGATGTCATCATCGGCGATCTGCGTATGCGCAGATAACACTGGCAACGAGGGTGGGATGAATGGAACGGAGGTTGCATTGCTGATTATTGTGAGCTGACTCACTCAGAGCTGACTCACAGGAGCTGATTTAGTTGTTGCCATAGATGCCTAAACCTAGATTGCCTGGGGCTTAAACTGGTTCCAAGGAAAATGGCTGCATTATTATCATTTGCTCCATGCAACCCAGCCTCTGAGACATGGGATTCCTATCTTGTTTGTTTTGACTACTTCCTTGAAGCAAATGATTTTGCTGAGATCACTGACAATAGGAAGAGGGCACTTTCCTAAACTTAGGTGGCCCAGAGATTTTTGAGATGGCCAGGGCTCTCCTCGCTCCATTGACTGTTCAGTCTGTGCCATGGGACGTGCTGCAGAGCAAGATATGGATGTATATAAAATACATACTTATGTACATTACATATATATATACACATACACATACACATACACACACACACACACACACACACACACACACTGCTCAAAAAAATAAAGGGAACACAAGCAGAAGACATCCAAGATCTGAATGAATGAAATAGCCTTATCAAATACTTTGTTCGTTACATACAATAGTTTTGTGTTCCCTTTAGTTGTTTGAGCAGTGTATAAACTACTGTATGTAAAGAACAAAGTATTTAATAAGGCTATCTCATTCATTCAGATCTCGGATGTCTTCTGCTTATGTTCCCTTTATTTTTTTGAGCAGTATATATAAAACATAAAATTATAATTATAGATAGATACATACACACACACACATATACATATGTATGTGGTGGGTTGCTACCGGTTCACCCCGAATCGGGCGAACTGGTAGCGGTGGCAGTGGGAGGCTCTGTACAGAAGCGTTGTGTGTACTCATGCATACCCGCCCACAAGCAAATCGGTAGTGACAGACAAGTATGTTGCTGCCCTTTGGAAGGCAGCCCTGTATTGTGAGTTATTTATTTTATTTATTTATTTTATTTTATTAAATTTCTATACCGCCCTTCTCCCGAAGGACTCAGGGCGGTGAACAGCCAAAAGATAAAACACAGAGATACAAAATTTAAAATAGATTAAAACAGATTAAACAATTTTGCTAAATTTTAAAAATATCCCATAATTAAACAAATTAAAATTAGTGTTTAAAATTTAAATTTTAAAATTTTAAAAGGGAGAAGATTTAGTTCTGGGACCTAGGTGATGCTCTCTTGGACAGAGTGGTCTATGGTGTGAGGAATGCCAAGCTACAGCGGCGCCTCCTTACAAAAACAGACCTCACCCTGCAGATGGCACTCGACAAGGCACAAGCAACTGAGATGTCTGATCAGTCAATGGTTGAGATTCAAAAATCAATCAGCCTACTAGCATCACGGAAACCAGTTACTGTGCATCACGAAGATGCTAGCCACTATGAATCAGCAGATGAGGACGATGATGTTCATTGCCTCAAATACTCCAAGGGGAGGAATGTGGCCACAGGAAAGAGGCAACCAGCATGTGTTGGTTGTGGTGGCAATCATCCGCAAAGGACATGTAAGTTCAAGAATGCCATCTGCCAAAGATGTGAAAAGAAAGGACATTTGCCTAGGGTCTGCTGTGCAAACCAACTGACAGCTACCACTGCAAGCCCAGAAAATTGCCCTAAGAGAATGCAGAAAAGACAAAAGAGATATGGAGAGGACTGTTTCACCATTTCCAGAGGCACCTCTAAGGCAGAAACAGTCATATTTCAGGCTAACCTCTCCTCCTGCAAGAAGGTCCATGTCACGGTCGTGATTGAGGGGTCCCCTATGGAGGTGGATACGGGGTGGTCAATGACCATCGTATCTTGGAGTACATTAAGGGGACTGATGCCTAAAATCTCAAAAAGACATATGGTGGACTTCCATCATATTCGTCTCTGAGATTACCAGGGGAACAGCATCCCTGTCGTTGACCCTGGCACTTTTAGAGTATCTTTTAGGGACTTTTCAGGCCCACTGCGACTGCTCGTCGTGGATGGCTCCCTACTGAGTCTCCTAGGATTGGACTGGTTTTCCATTTTGGGTCTGGGCAGATATACGGGCACACCCATCTCATTTAACCTTGACCCCCCCCAAGTTGCTCTGATCCGAATGAAGTCACGAAGAGTACTATTTGCCTTGCATGCAAAGGTTGATGAACAACTTGACAAGCTCATCAACCAAGGAATTCTGGAATCTATTGACCATGTAAAATGGGAGACTCCAATAGTGACCCCTGTGAAGCCGGATGGTTCTGTCCGCATTTGCACAGACTATAAATGTACATTAAATAAAGCACTATAGCAAAATGCATACCCGGTGCCTGTGGTCCAACATCTACTGCACTCTTTGGGTGAGGGTAAGGTCTTCGCTAAACTGGATCTGCCAAGCCTATGAACAGCTACCAGTTGATGATGCCACAGCGGAGGGTCAGATGATTGTAACACATTGAGGAGCTTTGAGATGTCGCCAGCTACAATTTGGGATGAGCATGGCACCAGGACTTTTCCAGAGCCTGATGGAGCATCTCCTGCAGGGCATCCCAGGTGTTATCCCCTATTTCGATGATGTTCTAGTGTCAGCGGCCAACAATGCCGAACTTCCTCGACCATTTCCAGGAAGTTGGCCTCAAGCTTAAAAAGAAAAATGTAAGATCGCTGTTCCACAGGTAGAGTTCTTCAGCTACCTTATTGATGCCCCTGGGTTACACCCTACACAGAGATAATTCTGGCCTCACCTCCATTCTTCACCCAGAACATAACATCATTTTGAATCTTCATTTTTACTTAATCAGTTTGCTTTTGAACTTTTATTGGATTTAGAGAACCCTTGGAATGGACATGGTCAATGATTGAGGCTCTTCCAGTTTTACAGTTTTTAAGAGGCAAAATATGTGTCCTACTTCTGTAGAAACCTGAGACCAATCTTTTTACTATAATACTCTCTAGGAAAGGCAAGTCCTTCCTATTCTGGCTGTAATATCATCATCTGCCTGGGGACAAGCATGTGCAGGGACCTGTTTTTTGCTTGTGCTAGTGATTGTAGGATAAATTTCTCAACTGCTATGTATTTTAATTTTTGTATTGCTGTAATTGTTGGTATTTGAAGTATTTTAAATTTGTTCACTGACAAGAGTCACTTATTGAGTAGGGCAGTTGTACTAATTGAATGAATGAATGAATGAATCCAGTTTTTTCCAGAATCTAGGTTTCAACTTTTTCTCTTTAGTCTTATTAGGATTGTCTGTGGCACACATTCCTGAATACAGGATGTTATTGATCTCTGGGTGAACATAAATCCACAAGAAGCCTATAGTTACTTTGCAAATAAGTGTTGCACAGAAGTAATAGATTCGTAAAAGACATCTGTTATTTATTCAATAAAGTTAATTATCTGCATAGGAGAATAAAAGAAAATATTAAAATCAAGTTTGAAATATGCTGACTGAGCATTTTTTAAAAAAGGAGGAGAATAATAATAGCTTATTTATAAGAAGGTCACTTTGCTTGAGGAGGACACCAAGGATGGCATGCCTTTCTAAAGAATTCAGCAGCTATTTTGGCACAAGACATTTTAAGAGCAGTCTGTAAAGTGTAGAAGGCACAAGAAATCTGTTGGAAAGTGCATTTGTTAAAAGTAAAACAACATTCCCTTTTTCCAGCAATTTAAATCAAGAGACATCCACTAAAGTCAGTCTTCTTAGGAGTTCTTGCTACGTATGCCTTTAATATCCAGTATTCACCAAATGTCAGGATAAGGATGAATTTGCTTGGGAAGGAAGGAATAAATGAAGATTAATGACAATAATGGGTGAATTCAAGGAAGTATCTCTGTGGGTTCCTTTCCCAGAGCTGATGGCAAGGTGGTTGTTAGGACTATAATCCAGACAGAAGGTGTCCAGCTGGCAGTATTTTTCCATTGCTCCTAAGCTTCTGTCTTCCAATTGCCTTCTGGAGAATTCCAGAATCTTATCCAATTCCAAAATCTTATCCAAAGGACTGGCACAGTTGAGATCATTTCCAAAGGAATTCTTGCAGTTGCTGGTGATATTTCTGCCGACGGACACAACGAGGGCAGAAACTGACAGTTGCCTGACAACTATTGTGGAAGACAGTCTTGCACTCACTACACCTGCAAGGAAGAAGAAGTATAACAATTCTAGAAGCAACTCATCATCTGTGAACAGATCACAGGTTCTTGAGAAGGTCACATTAGAGCTCAACAGCCAAGTTGCAATTGTAGTACAACCTATTGGAAGACATTAGATATTCTCTTTCTGTATTATTGGCTCCAAAGGCCAGCCTCCCTCTTATAATATCTTTACATCTCAAGCATGAAACTGGAATCACAAATAAAGTTGTTGTATCCCTGCTGCTAGACTTCCTCGACTGAACTCTTGAAACAACTTTCCACTCAAGAGATTCCAATTATGTAAGAAAATAAGGTTGGAAAAAACCTATGTTTTTCCCTTTGGTACTCAGACATCATTTCTCGGGAGACAACAGATAACTTTACATAGTGTTTCTGTCGCAATCATTATCAGGTCAAAAGGAATGATGGGGCAGATATAGAAGGAAGCCCCGGACAGCAGCTGATAGGGAAAAAGCAGAGTCTAGGGCTGTAAAAATTGCATTTTTAATAGCACGTAAGGGGAATATGTAACTAGAAATTCAGCATATTACTTAAAATGCATTTCAATTACATTAGCTATGAAATAAAATGTGATGAAATTTAATTTTGGTTAGTTTGGAGAGTATGCACCCTCCAGGGTTACATTAGGTCAGTGTTTTTCAAACTTGGCAACTTTATGATGTGTGGACATCAACTTCTAGAATTTCCCAGCCAAATATGCTGGGAGTTGAAGTACACATACTTTAAAGTTGGCACATTTGAAAAACACTCTGTTAGATGGTTAAGTAATTTTACTAGCTATAAGGCAACTTTAAAACTATTTAACAGGTAGAGGGATAAAAGTTAGATAATTATATAGCTGCCTCTTTCTTCACATTTAGGCTTACATGCTGCTTAACTTTTTTCCTCTGGGAACTCTCCTTCTGCCTGACAGCCAAGAAGGGATTTTGAGATTACTTCCTGTCTAAGCTGTGTTTATTAAAATAACAGATCATCACTGCCTATCATTCCAGAAGGGTCCCTCAAATGATGCATACCTTTTGGTTGACTTTGCTGGCCACTGAGTGTGGTTGTGCCTCTGGCTGAGGAGGTATGCACAAGAAAATTATCGTATTTTTCAGAGTATAAGATGCACTTCCCACCCCTCAAAAGAGGCTGAAAATTTGGATGCGTCATACTCTAAATGTAGCCCCGCTCACCTCCGCCTACCCTTGCATCCTCTTCCTGGCTGCAGATATTGCCACAGAGAATGGTTTGCGTTTTTGGGCTCTGCGCTTCAGGTTTTCAGCTTCCCAAATGCTCTGTTTGAGGGTTTGAAAAGGTGTGGCACGTAGCCCAAAATGACACTGGAACAGCTGCTTATCAGCCCCAATGCTGTGCGTACGAGCACAGCAAACTCCCTCTGATGATCAGCTGTGCTTTATAAATTGCTTATTAGCCCCACGCTAATAGCACGCACGCTCACAATCAGCAAACTAATGTGCTGAAGCTGACCAGGCTAAGGACGCTAGTCAGATGAATACCTGATAGGCAGAGGCAGAATTCCCCCCCCCCATTTTCCTCCCCAAAAACTAAGGTGCATCTTATACTCTGAAAAATACGGAATCTCCAGCTGCCAACTAGGCAGAATGATGATTAAGGAAGTGGCTATTGCTGTGCTGCTACCAGAATCAAAAACACTCCCCAAAGTTACCATAAAGAGGCTTCCAAGAACATCCTGTTTCACAGGTAAATTGTCTGGCTCAGGAAGCAGGAAGTAAGTTTGTCTGAGCTTGGAGACACTCTTCTTGCTCTAAGACAGAGCCAAAAGGGAAGATCGGCATGTGTGTCATTGCAGTGTTGTAGTTGTGGGGGATGAACAATTATATCTAAAGGCTACTAAAAGACGGATCTGGTGAATGAAATCTTTTCAGGATTTTGACTGCCTCATGGAAGGTGAATCAGCCTTCTTCTGATTGCCTTCCCCAAACTGGAGACTCTCTGGATGTGCTTTGTTACTGCATATATAATCTAGTGGGCTAAAAACATGCCAAGCTGGGGAAGGATTTCCTACAAAACTGGAAAAAACATGGTGGGCTACGGCAATTCTTTTAATTTTTTTTGTATCCTCTCTGTAATCTCTGTCAAAAGGCCTGACCCCAACTTGAACAAATAAATGTTTTCTAAGAATGACATTTATATGTTTATAAGCATTCGGTTACTTATCATTATAACAAGTTTTAAGGACTTCATTAACATTTTAATCAACTATCCTGACTCTTACCTGTTCTAATTCTGAATATGCTATGGAAATATGGACTTATTTATTTGCAAATGTACCATATTTTTCTGAGTATAAGATGCACCTTTTCTCCCCTAAAAGGGGGTGACACCAAATGTAGCCCCGCCCACCTACTGGCTCTCACCCTTTGGCCTCTGCCTCGCAGCAGTTATCTCCTTGCAAGCAAAGAGCAAAACAAAACAGCTCCTTTCAACTTCAGCACAGCCTAATTAGCACAAGTTGATTGGATCGGCCTCCTGACTCTCAGCTGATTTGCTCTCAGCTGTTTTGCGCAGGACTCTGCTGCTTGCTGCAAAGAGGTAAATTGCTGGAGCAGATTTTTTTTTCCCTTGTGCTAATCAAACTATGCTGAAAACAAAAATGAAAGTAAAGGAGGTTGTTTGCTGTTTGCTGCAACCAGGCAAAATTGCTGGGAGGCAGAGGGAGATTTCTTTTTCTTTTCCTCATCAAAAAAGGTAAGTGCATCTTATATTCCGAAAAATACGGTATTCACAAATATACCGCCCCACCTGGACAATGCTATTCTGATCAGCTTATTTAAAAAAAAAGAAAAAAGAACCAAAATAAAACTACCATGAATAGCAATAATAGATAATAGGCAACTTGGCTAACATTTGTACCCTCTTCTAGTGGTACATACATTGTCCCAATGGGCAAATGACCATGTTTTTTAAATTTTTCTAAAGGCCAGCAGGATTTGGGTCAATTCAGCATTTTGTATGTGTGTGTATGGTGGTGGTGGTAAGATCATCCCAAGGCACTGCTATTGAGAAGGCATGCAATCTAGGTCCTATCAGATGGCACTACTTCAAAGAGGGGATCCAAAGTCTGCCTACCATATTAGAGCAAGTAGGACAGGCAGCTGTCTTTAGGGATGTCATGGGTACTGTCCTAAGGGGTAATTCAAATAACTCAGTCCTGTACTATGTAGAGTCAAAAATCACCTCCCGATGTGCTAACATAATGAGCTCCAAGATATGGTCAATATATACAGGAGAACGCAATTCTATTTTAGTTTTCTTAAAATGTGTATTCAGTTTTAGAGGAAGGGACATGTGTAACACTTACCTGCTGGTTGTATCAAATTCAAAGGGAAAGATGATATCATTCTTGTTGCATATTTGACAGATGAAGCCCCTCTGAGTACAAAGATCACAGCTGTACACATGGTGGGAAGCAAATTGGATCAGCGACTGAAGAAAGGTTTCAAATATACCATCTGCTATCTAAGAAGAGAGAAGGGCCATGAGCAGTTGGTGGGGAACAGGGAAATCACTTCACATTTCTGCCTTTGAACTCTCAAAATATGGAATACATGTTGTTCAGCAAAAAATGGCCAAGGGCCTTATGAGTTAAAACACTTGAAAGGCATGAAACAGCTGATTTTGGCTGGTCCATGTCAAAATCAGAATACATTGCGTTTCATGTGTTTTTCTTCATGCATGAATTTTAACTTTGTAATATATATGGTCATGTCCATGTAGAAGTAGTTCAGAGGAGGTTAGGTAAGGAATATGGAATGGACACAGGCAGCAGCTGATTGCTGGCAGGGAAGGGATGGTGTTGAGAAGATTGGGGATAGGATGGCAAAATATGCCATGGTAGAATAAGAAACAGATGCAGAAATAAGTTACATTAGCAATGATAGCCAAGATGACAGAGGTAAGGGAAAGCACATGAAGGATTATGGAGGAAGATATTAGGAGTGGGTCGGAATAGTACAACCCACTGCGGCCAAGTTGCCACAGCAAAGTTGCTGTGGGACAAGTCGCAGAGGAAACTCACCTTTGGGCAGTTCCACATGGGGTAACTCAATGCCTTGCTCCTACCTAGCAAGCCTTCCTGGTTTCACTGCATGGGAAAGAGGCCTAAGGAATTTGGTCCTCCTTTTCATGGAAGTCCCCAGCCCCCGTCCCTCATTGTCTAGACAGGCAAATTAATGAAGCATTGACCCTCTAGTGAGGGTTCCCCAGAAATTGTGCTTCACACACCCACCCCTTGGATGGCTGTGTTGCCCTCACTCCCTGCTGGCGCCAGATGGATTTCCTCAGTTCATCCCCCTAATTACCTCAAACAGAATTGGCAGAGCAGTGCCTTCCTTTTCACCCAGGCAAGCGGTGTCCTGATGGACTGGGTTGGACTTGGGGAGCCCAGATCCATCCCCTCCTGGTCTCCTTTTCTTCCTGTAGCCAGGAGTTCCAGAGGCTCTGGGGAAGGGAGATCCAGTGTAGGCAGGGAACGAAGGCAGCAGAGCCAGGTGGACAAAGTGCAATCCCTGGGGAGCACTTGGGCAGGGTGCAATTCTTCATTAATTTGCCCATCTAGACAGTGGCAGTGACTTATCAGCTCTGGCACCGCCTCTCTGAGCCAGACTGCAGTGTGGGAAGATGGGGTACCCCTGGATCCAGGGATTGACCTGACTCACAGTGGAAGAGAAGGAGGTTCAGCATTTTCCCACAGTCTCAGCATGGCCAGGGCTCTCAGGGTGATCTGGTAGGGCTTGGGGGAGGGGATTCAAAGGTTGGAATAGCCTCAGGATCTTGATACTTCTCTCCAGAGGCACAATGCCCACGGGGCTGGGGTCTTCCATGAAAAGGAGGACCAAATTCTCCAAGCGTCTTTTCCATGCAAAACAACCCAGGAAGACTTGCCAGGTAGAAGCAAGGAGTTGAATTATCCCACATGGAATTGTCCCACAGCAAGTTGTCTTGTAGCGAGTTGGCTGCACTGACATGGCTGTGGCGAATTGTCCTAGACTTGGAATGGGTAGATTAGTGGAACATGTTGATCTTGGACATTGGCAGCAGCAGCAGGGAATGCAGGCAAGGGAAGATGCTGGAAAGGTAAGAGGGATTGACGGTATGCGACATACTATACAGCGAGTTAAGAAAGAAAAAAGAGTGAACTCTTTTTGCCCTGTAAAAGAAACAGGCATCCTTTCAGATTTTATTTCATCCAAATCCCATAAATGGTGTGGGGATGGTGCAGTGACTCAGTGCTTAAGACGCTGAGCAGGGAAGCTGACAACCCATGTTCCAGACACAAATGCCATGTAATGGGATGAGCTCCCAACTTTGCCCCAGGTTCCTTGCTAACCTAGTAGTTCGAAAGCATACAAATATAAGTAAATCAATAAGTACAAATTTGATGGAAAGGTAACAGTGCTCTGTGATGTCATGCTAGCCACATGACTGTGAAAATGTCTTTGGACAGCGCTGTTTCAATGGCTAGAAACAGAAATGAGCAGTGCCCCCTATAGTCGGCATCAACTAGTGGAATAAAATCTGCAGGGATTTCTTAAACCCTCCAAAGAACTAAAAAATATTCTGGGTTTTGTTTTTGCTAAACTGAAGCTGTTCCAAAATGGTTGGCAGAACTTCCAGAACACAGAAATTTGTTCTAAAATTGAAACAACTTAGTTTTTCCATTTTGTACATACATACTTATATTTAAAACCATTTCAGCAGCTGTTAATGCAGAAATTAGGGCGTGTCAATTTTTTCAGTTTTCAATTTCCAAACATTAGGGGTGTTCAAAAGTTGTGACATGCCTTGGGGATTGTAAGGATATTTTGGTTACTTTAATATAATTTAGATGTGCTTGGTAAGTAATTACATAAATATCATAATTTTTTAACATTGTTTCATGCAGATCCAATGCAATTAGCAAAAAATTTGCAATATACAGGACTAGGAAAAAAATTGGTAAGTAGAAGCAAATTGGCCAGAGAATTCCTGGAGAGTTTAGCTGTCTATTTGCTATACTCTTCAGATAGGACAAAGTTATATTGCATCCGAACATACACAGACCAGCTCTCAAAAGCTTCCTGCTTCCTGCTCTGCACTGAATGATACAACATCTAATGGTGCATCAAATAATTTCTATGTACTAATTTGAAGATTGCTAGGCTGTGATTTTGGGGGATCCAGCTTAGAGGGTGAAAAAATGGGTAATATTTTCTTGAACTGAATTTCCACTTGCTTATAGATTGAAACATTTCTTTTTTCTGGATCTCCTACCTGCCTCAGGTCAGCCACACTGTATTTATGGGGACACTCCAGGAGATAGTGCCGGTGGTCAAGCCTTCAAAGAACAACATCATTAGTATATTAAAATTTGTTCTCCACTGCATCCCAGGAGTTTTATACAACATAAAATAAAACCCTGATGAGACAACAAGAACTTTTGCTTCATTTCTCATGCTCCATTTCTGCGCACAAGCTGATCTCTTAGGCTTTTTCGTTCATTCTTATTTTACTGGGTGCCTCTCTTCCCAACCCTTACCTTCATCAAGCCATTGTATCACAAGATACTTGACCCATATTTCTTGATCTCAGAAATATATCACTGCTCTACCCCTGTGCTGGTTTCTCTCCATTTTTCAGAGATCACAAGAAACATGCCGACAGTACTCAGGGCCAAACTAGATACTGATACATTGGGATTTTTTCTTTTAATTTTCTAGCAACATTTTTTCTACAATGAGAATGCACACTATATACATCAAATTACACCAGTTTGGGATTAGCAAACCAGATCCAACAACACCCCCAGAAGTCTTTTGTGTCATCCAATACAGGTCCCAATCCTCCTGACTTGAAGATATGGAAACAATATTGCTCTTCTTTTTTCTCTCTCTCTCTCTTGCAATGCTTCTGGAATCCATTTGGGACCAGACCACTTTTCAGAGCGAAAGAGACAGAAAGAGATAGCAAAAAACTAAAATTTTGCTATGTCCAAAACAGCCAACACTGAAACAGAAGTATTCCACTGCTCTTGCTGAGTAACCACGTGTGATGAGGATGGCAATAAGCTTGGCAATGTGTACATAAAAGAACTTCTGTGGAGGCAGCTGTATCTATCTGATGAACAAAAGTGGTGCAAAAGGCAGCTCCATGTGGTGGTGAGCATCCAGATCCACATACAATCTCTGACTGAATAGCCAGCATCATTTGGAAGCAGAATGCTTACTTATTCTTGTGTCGGAAGGCTGGAGTCAATTCAGACTAATATACTGATTTGTAGAAGGCCCTTTTATGCCTCTGGCTCACCTCTTACTGATCTCCTTCAGGGCACCACTGCGACAAAGGACAAGATAATCACCCAGTAGCTTCAGCTGCTCGCGATTCTGATAGATCTGTTTCATTTGCTCTACATGGTCATAGAGGGTTTCATTCACCAGCTTCAGGTCAATCAAGGGTTGATTTTGAATTTTGGCTAGGAATTTCAGAGCCTGGCAACAAATCTGACAGAGACAACAAGATGAGAATGTTCTTGTAAAAGCCCCTGAATGACATCTAGGAAATGCAAAAGAATATTATAATTTATAAAGAGAAATTCATTGGCTCACATTCCAGTAAGTATCTTCTTATAATTTGAACTGAAGGTTTGTTTGTTTGTTTGTTTAATTAATTAATTAATTTGCTGCTCATGTCGCTGTGGGGCTATTCCAGAGAGTTTATAATAATAAAAGGGAAGAAAATGAAAAGAGCCGAGATTGTGCCTTGAGAAAAACATACTTTTTCTTTTTACTGAGCTTGGCCATAATTAGGGGATATAAAAAAAAAACCCAGAGTAACAGCTCAGAAGTTGAAAAATCCTAACCGGAATGGTACCTTACTCATAGATTTCTCACTTTATGGTCCTTGAGTTAAATCAGTGTTTCTCAACCTTAATAAATTTAAAGTGTGTGGACTTTGGTTCCCAAAATTTCCCAGCCAGCACTGGGGAATCCACCTGCTAAGGATGAGAAACACTCAGAGGGAGGGAGGGAGGGAGGTCACATTTTGCTAGTCTGCTTTTTTAAAACCTGCACTTATTTGCGCTCACTTGCAATGCAGATAGGGCACAAAGGAAGGAGATCCTTACAGATATTCTCAAGCTTTTCTCTTTCATAATGAAAACTACGGTCATTTTGTGACTATAGTTGTGCAGGTGGGATTAAAAGAGACATGAGAGACAATTTCACATAACAGAGTTTATATACTTTATGCCCCTCTCCCACCATAACAGGACGTACCGGATATCTGGAAAGATCCCAGTTATGAATTAGACGTGAAGGTATCACAGACTCTTCATCTTGGTGGCAGTTGTCACAGTAATAGAGGCCAGTGAATGAACACAGCTTAGGCTTCATAAAGAAGAAACCAATCTGCCTGGAGCAGCCTGGAAAGGAGAGACAAAAAGTAAGATCATCTTAAATTGCCGGAATCTGACTGTTGGGTATTGGAGAAACTTCTGTATTTAGACAGCCTCTTCCCCAGCTGCTGTCTCCAGAAAAGTCAGTTTTCAGTTCCTGTAATTCATTTGCTGACTAGGCCACTGCCTATAGTAAGAGGAAGATATTAGAGCTGAACCAAGACTCAGCTATTGCTCAGCCTTGATCTCTAGATCTTTGTTTCTCAAGTATGGATGTGCCTGTGTGTAATACGTATACACACACATTCACACAGACCTCCTGCCTTTATTACACAACCACATATTTTTATCTACTGCTTAATATATACCAAGCAAGAGCCCTCCTTTTTATTTTATTTTATTTTATTTTATTTTATTTTATTTTATTTTGTCGAGTGCATATTAGATAACATATATAAGTATAAGAATAAGCATGAATTGAATACATAAAATGAATACAATTAAAGGGAACATTAGGACAGGGATGGTAGGCACACTGATGCTGTTATGCACACCCCTTACAGGCCTCTTAGGAATGGGGTGAGGTCAACAGTAGACAATCTTAGGTTAAAGTTTTGAGGGTTTTGAGATGAGACCACAGAGTCTGGTAGTACATTCCAGGCATTAACAACTCTGTTACTGAAATCATATTTTCTGCAATCGAGTTTGGAGCGGTTCACTTTAAGTTTGTATCTATTCTTTGCTTGTGTATTGTTGTGGTTGAAGCCGAAGTAGTCATTGACAGGTAGGACATTGTAGCAGATTATTTTATGAGCTATGCTTAGGTCATACCGAAGGTGGCGTAGTTCTAAATTTTCTAAACCCAGAATTTCAAGTCTGGTGGCATAAGGTATTTTGTTGCAAGCAGAGGAGCAGAGGACTCTTCTTGTGAAATATTTCTGGACATGCTCAATTGTATAAATGTCCGATATGCAGCGCGGGTTCCAGACAGATGACCTATATTTGAGAATTGGTCTAGCAAATGTTTTGTATGCTCTGGTTAGTAGTGTAATATTACTGGAGATAATATATAATGTAATATTATATATTACATTATATAATATATAATATAATATATAATGTAATATTTTTCTTGTGTTACGTTTTTTATTTTTAGCAGAAAGAAAGCCCAAGGCCAAAACTATCTTTGGAACAGAACTATTTGTTGTTCTGATTTTAGTGGCTAGAAATATAATAATGTATTTTACTGTAACTGAAAAGAAAGATATATCGCTTCAGAGATCATGAAATTTGGCCTGACCTTTCATAAAAGTGTACCTCTTGTCCATTATTTAGTTTTATTATCAGATTTATTACTAAAGGTGTAACCCTTAATTTTTCTCTTGTTCACGAAATTATCTTAGGAATAAAATGGATCCCAATATTTTCTGATTAATAGAAATTCCTGCACTTCATTGTAAGAGGCTCATAGGCATTATCTCACCTCTAGACTGAGCTCTATACTGAAGGATTCTTGGACCTTTCTCAGTTATCGAAACTGGATATTTGTTAAATAATTATAGATACAGAAGTCGTCCAATGTGTTCTGTCCCCGTCACACAGACACAGACACAGACACACACACACACACACACACACACCGGCAGTGGACCAAGAGTTAAAATAAACCAGCAGACAAGAATTTCCTTTGATAACATAATTGGCAGCAACCCAGTGACTGCTTGTCAAAAAGGGAGGTTTATCTCCTCCGACCGAAACATCAAAGTAAGTCCACAAAAGCCAAAGAATTGTCAAGTTCAGTCCAAAAATCAATCCAAGCAGAGCATATAACAGTGATGGCTAACCTTTTTGCCATCGTGTGCCAAAAGCGGAGGGAGCAGTGGGGTCACACGCACGCATGCCCACATCCATAATTCTATGCGCCTCGCCCCCCCATGCTCCTCCCACTTTTGGCACGCCCAGTAAGCCTGTTTTTCACTCTCCCCAGGCTCCAGAACCTTTCTAGGAGCCTGGGGAGGGTGAAAATGGCCTTCCCCACCCCCCCCAGAGGCCCTCCGGAGGCCAGAAACAGTGTGTTTCCTGACTTCTGGTGGGCCCAGAAGGCCCCAAAATCAGCTGGCCAGCGCACGCAGGCATGCCGAAGCTGAGCTCGCGTGCCCACCAATATGTCTCTACGTGCCACTTGTGGCACCCCGTGCCATAGGTTCACCATCACGGGCATATAACAAAGTTTCAGAAATGCAGAATGACTTGCTAGCTTTCAGTTTTGTCCGTCACAAAGCCTCAATGGCCACCACACCCCCTTTTATCCCGTGGGGTGTGGTCCAGTGACTCAGTTTAATCTCTGGCACGCCTCCTTCTCTGCTGCGCGCGCTTGTCTTTCCAACGCTGTCGGGGATCCAGCCAAGACTTATCTCTGTCGCTGTCTAACTGTGGCTGCTCGGAAGTGCCTGGCTCCTGGCCTATCTCTTGGCCTTCGGAAGACACCTGAGGCATTGCCAGAGAGGAGGGTCCTGGGGAGGGAGGCCTTGCCAACTCCTCTCCTTCACTTTCGGAGTCTTCTCCCTCCGATAAGACGGGCTCAGGGGTCGGAGTCACAACACAATGTAGTCCAATGCAAGCAATGAAAAACTAAAAGCCAAATGTGTTATTCATTCATTCAGTCAAACAAACAAACAAACAGAGAAAAGTGCAGTCAAGTCACCAAGTAGATTAATCTAGTCTACTTAGAGATGACAGTGAAGATTATGAACTAGAGAACAGTATCCACAGATGACGTCACAAACTGCATTTGCTCATAAAACCTGCATGTCACACATTGCCTGACCTTCCTACATCTTTCTTCTTGTGGACTTATAACCGCTGAACTGTAAATAGGCCAGCTTTTCGCTGAGTCAGAGATGAGTTCATGTTAATTAGAGATACACAAAGTCACTTCCAATAATCTATGCATGTGCCTTTACGATTTTTCAAACTTTACTTTACCATCTTCTCTGGCAAATAGCCCTGAAATCAAAGTGTAGTTTTGGCATTCAAAATGAATCAATTACAAAAAAAACAGAACAATCAGACATTTCAGGACTGACTCCACCCCCCCTCAATTATCGCAGCTTAAGAATTTCTTATTATTTCTATTAGTTAAATTAATATTTGGTCATAAGAAGAATGAAGAGATCTAGTGAAACAAAGGCTTACAGTAATAATTACAGTGGGGCAAAAAAGTATTTAGTCAGCCACCAATTGTGCAAGTTCTCCCACTTAAAAAGATGAGAGAGGCCTGTAATTGTCATCATAGGTAGACCTCAACTATGAGAGACAAAATGAGAAAACAAATCCAGACAATCACATTGTCTGATTTGGAAAGAATTTATTTGCAAATTATGGTGGAAAATAAGTATTTGGTCACCTACAAACAAGCAAGATTTCTGACTCTCTCAGACCTGTAACTTCTTCTTTAAGAGGCTCCTCTGTCTTCCACTCATTACCTGTATTAATGGCACCTGTTTGAACTTGTTATCAGTATAAAAGACACCTGTCCACAACCTCAAACAGTCACACTCCAAACTCCACTATGGTGAAGACCAAAGAGCTGTTGAAGGACACCTGAAACAAAATTGTAGACCTGCAGCGGGCTGGGAAGACTGAATCTGCAATAGGCAAGCAGCTTGGTATGAAGAAATCAACTGTGGGAGCAATAATTAGAAAATGGAAGACATACAAGACCACTGATAATCTCCCTCGATCTGGGGCTCCACGCAAGATCTCACCCCCGTGGGGTCAAAATGATCACAAGAACGGTGAGCAAAAATCCCAGAACCACATGGGGGGACCTAGTGAATGACCTGCAGAGAGCTGGGACCAATGTAACAAAGGTTACCATCAGTAACACACTATGCCGCCAGGGACTGAGATCCTGCAGGGGCAGACGTGTTCCCCTGCTTAAGACAGTACATGTCCGGGCCCATCTGAAGTTTGCTAGAGCATTTGGATGATCCAGAAAAGGATTGGGAGAATGTCATATGGTCAGATGAAACCAAAGTAGAACTATTTGGTAGAAACACAACTCGTTGTGTTTGGAGGAGAGAGAATGCTGAGTTGCATCCAAAGAACACCATACCTACTGTGAAGCATGAGGGTGGCAACATCATGCTTTGGGGCTGTTTCTCTGCAAAGGGACCAGGACGACTGATCTGTGTACAGGACAGAATGAATGGGGCCATGTAGCGTGAGATTTTGAGTGCAAACCTCCTTCCATCAGCAAGGGCATTGAAGATGAAACGTGGCTGGGTCTTTCAGCATGACAATGATCCCAAACACAACAAAGGGGTGGCTTCGTAAGAAGCATTTCAAGGTCCTGGAGTGGCCTAGCCAGTCTCCAGATCTCAACCCCATAGAAAACCTTTGGAGGGAGTTGGAAGTCCGTGTTGCCCAGCGACAGTCCCAAAACATCACTGCTCTAGAGGAGATCTGCATGGAGGAATGGGCCAACATACCAGCAACAGTGTGTGCCAACCTTGTGAAGACTTACAGAAAACGTTTGACCTCTGTCATTGCCAACAAAGGATATATAACAAAGTATTGAGATGAATTTTTGATATTGACCAAATACTTATTTTCCATCATAATTTGCAAATAAATTCTTTCCAAATCAGACAATGTGATTGTCTGGATTTGTTTTCTCATTTTGTCTCTCATAGTTGAGGTCTACCTATGATGTCAATTACAGGCCTCTCTCATCTTTTGAAGTGGGAGAACTTGCACAATTGGTGGCTGACTAAATACTTTTTTGCCCCACTGTACTTGTTTAACACTTTCAGTTTAAATGATTTACCACTACCCAGGATTAATCTGAAGTTATGTTAGCATTAACACTGCAATAACAAAGACCACCAATATCTTGTGTTCTAAAATCACATTAACTACAAATAAACACATGCAGAAGTAAAATCCTCAATCTCAGTTGTTTAATTGAAAGAGAAAATACATTTTAACTTACTAAAAAAAAGGCTTTGTGTAAGTTATCTTTTTGTAAGCACCCAGATATCCCTACCTGCACATATGAAACTTTGGCAGTCCAGGCCTTTCTCCATGGGGATGGCAACCAGATACTGCAGCAAGTATCCATTTTCCTTAACAGTATTCTTCAGGATTGCCTGTGAATTGCCATCCAGATTGCCCCCAAGTGTGAGGGCCTCCTCAGCCATTTCCAGGTAGGACATGAGCACCCGGCGGACCAGGTCTCGCCAATCAGTTGCCTCCTCTGCATTCTCAGCTCTCAGCTTTAGTACTGCTTTTGAAGTGATGATCTTGAAGAATGCAGGTCCACCCAAGCTCACATCTGGCAGGATATCCTGGATGGTCTCAATTCCAAAGCTGTTGTTCAGTATCTTTTTATCATTTTTGGCTTTGAAGCATTTCAAAGCTTCTAAGGACAAGGAGAATACCAAAGGGACCCATGCTTTTTCAACCTCCAAGTACAAGACAGATTCCTTGACTGCATCTAACTCAGGGTTCAAGGCACATGACCAGTCCAACTCAGTTGGGCCAGTTCTACTGTACACCGAGAAGGAAGGCAAGTCACCAGGTGGTCCACCTCCAAAGAAATCCTCAGAATCCTCTGCAGCCTCAGGGCACTCTAGAGTTTCCCATCCTTCATCCGGCTGTAGCCTATACTTTTTTAGGGCCTCATGCAGCCGGTCCAACCAATCCTCTGCTTCATCCCAAGAGGAAGCCCGAAGATACAATCGTTTGTTGGAAAAGACCAGCTCAAAGCGCCCATCACTGTGAGCCCGTCCTAAGGACTCACATCTTAGCAGAGAACAGTTTTCTACACATACTCGCTTCTCATAGTCTACAAATAGCCGTAACTCTAGGGGTGAGAGCTCACAGAAAAACTCTTTCCAGATGCCCATAGCTCCTCGACGTTCCAGGGTCCCCAACTTCAGCAGACCGCGAAATGGATTGGAAAGACCTACAAGTGAGGAGAGGAAAAGCTTTATGTACTCTCTAGCACAAATGACATTTCTGTAAAGCAGAAATTTCTGTAAATTTCTGTAAAAATGGATGATGCTTCCATTATTATAAATTCTTTTAACCACCATAGAAATCTCTCCTCCCATTCCACTTCATCCTTTCTCTCTTAGTCAAAACACAAGTTACCTATTTGTCTCCGATGAACAACGCTAAAGCCCTTCAGCTCCTTCCCAGGAGGCAGTTTGGGTTTGCTGAGCTCTGCTGAAGATACAGAGAGCTCGCCTGGATCTGGGACTCTCAATGGCATGGCAGGTTGGCTACTGGTAAGCCTCTCTAGTGAGGTGCTGGGAGAACTGGAGAGGCTTTTTTCGGTTTCCTCAGGAGGGGAAGGAAGGTAAAAATCATCCTCAGTGATCCAGCTTCTTTTCTGTTGGGAAATAATAAAGAAGCAAGATAACATTTGTGCTATTACCCAAACAAGTATTCTTCTGGTTTTCAGTTTATTGAATTCAAGCAGCTGGGCTGATGCAAGAAAATATTGTCCTTTGCAGGACAGCCTCCTCTTATTGCTATCATGGAAGTCTGCACAGAATGTATTTATTTTTCGCATTGCTCAGATTTGATAGCGCCCAAACCTACAATTTAAAGCACCAAGAAAAATGGCCATCCAATTTAAACAACTCTCTTTAAAAAATTCAGCCTGTGACAAATTACTATTTAATTTTTAAAATTCTATTAATTTTGAATACTTTAAACACGCAGAAATATAAGTAAAACTGAAATCTGTTTTTTTTTTAATTTTCATATCATCAGGAATAATTATTACAGACATTTGGGAATGCCTGGGAAAATATTAGACAGTCTTACAAAGGTATTCCACAGTTTTTCTTCTGTCAGTGGAATAGATGGGTGATATTTGGGAAAAGTGATTTGGGAACGGTGACATCATTTCCTATTAAATATGACATACAGACTGGCTCAAAAACCAGGAATAAGACACTGTAGCTAGGAGGAAATGAAGCCAAGGACAGGAAGTTTCAGTGCAGCTGCAGGAAAAGCATTTCCGGAGCTGTAAAGGAACTTCTTGATCAACATAATTCGTTTGTCATGAGGTCCCTAGCTGGTGAATGTGACAGATTTGCCATTTCTCATTTTTATAAAAATAAAATAAAAATATGGTAATGTTTACATGTATGCTAAATCTATACACGTACAGGAAGTGTCTATTTGTATTTAAATAGATTTGTTTGTAATTTTCATATCTTTTTTTCATCTTAGATTTGTGTTAATTTAGTTACCTGATAGTGTTTATTAATCATAGTTCATTAAATACCATTTTTTTAAAAAAATTAGGGAGATATGATGATGTTCTCAGGTCCCCAAACAAGGAATTAATATCCCATGATAAACAATTCACTCAACTTCCAATGGGCTGTTTTAGGGAGATTTTTAAAAATCATTTTTTAAAAAAAAATTAATGCTTTTGGGAAGCTATTGAAAATTAATGTCTATTTGGCATGCTGGAGGTACACATTTTGGCAACATAAACAGCCTTCCAGAACTTATTGAACTATGGCAGAAATACGAAGGATGGCCAAGGACCACCTTATTATTTAAGGAGAGCCAAAAGCCTCACCAGACAAGGCAATGCAGAGAAGCGTACCAATTTTTTTAAAAATGTAGAGATACAAAGATGTTCTCAGGTCCCCAAACAAGAAGTTAATATCCCATGATAAACAATTCACTCAACTTCCAATGGCCTGTTTGTTACTGCCAATTTTTGGCAATGTGGCCAGAAAGAGCCTCGGAAGCTGCAAAAACATATCACAGAACAAAACAAGTAGTTCTTACAGGGCAGTTCACTGGTGAGACTGGTGAAAGAAGCTGGTCTGTTCCTGGAAAACTTCCTTCATAACCATTGACTTCACTGGTCCAGGTTTTAGCTCCTCTCTTGATGTTGCAATGAATTTGGGTCACATCCGCAGGTTCTTTGGTCACAATTATTGTGGCTGGCGTAGAGGTCTGTTGGACACTGGTACTACGAACAGATTCTCCACTCTTAGGTAAATTGGGAAGCTGTGAATTTGTCATTATTGCAGGTACCGTGATGTCAACCGGACCTTTTGCCATTACAGTATGAGGAAGGTGCACAGTGCAGAAACTGGTGACAGGGCAGGGGCATTCTGGTGGGGAAGACTGAGAGACAAGGTGTGCTTCATGAACTCCTACAGATTCCAACTTTCTCTGTGTCCTGGTAAATTCTGCTAACACTCTGGAAAGAAATATAAAGATTTAAAACATTTGCAAGAGAGAGATCATCTCCAGTAATTCTATCTCTCAATGTACCACATGGAGTCCAGAGATAAGTATCAAAGATGACTGAGGTTTAGTCACATATAATTTAACACATTCAATAACTGTTAATTTGCTCTTTCAAGCATCACAATAAACTGTTTTAATACATGAATAGAATTGATGCATTCTATACTATGTGTTAAGTTGGTCTAAAGCACGGGTGTCAAACTTGTGGCGTCATGTTGACATCATGTGATGTATCGCAATATTTCCCCCCTTTGTGGAGCTGCGGTGGGTGTGCCCTGCGTGTGACACAACCAGTCCGTGGGCTGCCAGTTTGACACCCCTGATCTAAAGGATTAGAATAGACAAGTTAAATATCCAGCATACACAGTATTTTGAGAGTGAAGCTTCTAGGTGCAGACAAAATATATAGGAAATTGGCCATGTGTTCAAATTGCCCCTTAGTTGTGGATTTACTGAGTGAATCATCCAGACAAGAGTACAGCTTTCTCAAGCTTTGAAAATGGTGCCACTGTCAAACCTATCATTGATAAACTCTTACTGTCATATATAAACATTAAACACTTCCAATGTTTGCTTGTAGATAATGTAACATATTAAGTATAAAAAACCCCATGAACTACTGATTATGCTTCTGTGAGGTAACATAAATGCTGAAAAGAAAATCAGAACAGTTGTCATGAATGAAATGGAAAGACTGTTTAACCAAGGGAGCACCTCATGCGTGGTCAAAGAAAATTTGCAGAAACAGGACCAATGATAGAAGCAAGTCTTTTGAGCAAGCCTCCATCTGAGGCTTAGAAAAAAGGCAGAAAAGATATGCAGGTTGATTTCCCATATTGATATGCAACCACATTATTAAGAATCTAGGAATTGTTATTCTAATATGCTGAATCCCACTAAAATTCTGCCTTAATTTTTGCAGAGTTAAGGTATTACATAGTATATCACTTTCACTATTATACTCACTCTTGGAGGTCCTGGTCCAAGTCTGCTGTTGCTGTTGTCGTGTCAACCTCAGAGTCATTGGAGATGGGCTCTTTCTCCCTAGCTGGGCTGGTAGTGCTTGGAGAATTGGCTGGGAGAAGAATGTCAGAGTCAAGGCTGGAAGAGAGCTGTGAGGAACCAGTTGTGCTGATGCTCAAGTTGGAAGCTGTGAGTTTATCTGCCTGTTGATTTTTAGGGACAGGCAGGATGGCTGGGTGAGCTTCCACTTCATGAGAGCCAGAAGATTGTGAGAGAAAACTAAGTGACTCCTTTCTTTGAGATTCCAGCCCCACAAGAGGGTCCAACAGTTCCCAGGCAGGACAAAGGCCTGATAAGGATAAAGGTGTGATGGTCCACTCATTCAATACTGCTGACTTGTAGGAGAGGTCAAAAGCCAGAGAAGACAAGCCCTGCAGATAGCTGAGGAGAAATTCAACCTCCTCAGTATCCAGAAGCAGAGCAGGTGAATGGTAATATTCAGAGAGTTGAGACTTTTCATGAAGCAAGAGTTTTAGGTAACACTCCATCAGGCCATCATTCAGAGCCAGCCTCAACCACGCACGACATCGTCCCACATCTGTATTGATGAAGACCAAGTTTTCCAGTTCAGAAATTATGTTTCTGAAAGAGAAGAAATAGCCAGGGAGGGGAAAATACAACATCCATTAAAAGGATAGCTCCCAAAGACAAGAGAAAACAGAGTTTTGGCCAGTGGTAAAAGTTGGGTTTGATGCATTCTTGTCTGATGAAAACATCAAGAGGTAAAATGGTAAAGGAATCCCCCTGGCTTTTACTCCACTAATCATTACCAATGCTTATCTTCCATTTCAACAATTATTGTGCCAGTGCTTCCCAAAGACATTTCAATGATGTGGCCAGCATGATGTCATGGAGCGGTTATCTTCCCACTGAAGTGGTACCTATTTATCTAGTCACATTTGCATGCTTTCAAATAGCTAGGTTGGAAAGAACTAGGGCAGACATGTCAAACGCAAGACCTGCAGGCTAAATCCAGCCCGCGATGTGGTTAGATCTGGCCTGAGGGGCCACCCTGGAGACAGTGAGGGGCCGGCCCCTGCCACCTTGGCCCCAATGCGCCCCATGGCTACATGTCTCCATGGGCCAGATCTAAGGCTGATCGTATTCCTGCCTGCATGGCCGCCACAAAGTTGTAGTAGAGCAGCACATAGAGCCCCAGCAGTGCTGCGTCAGGCAACAGTGCCTCCGTTGCCTCCTTGGTCTGCGCCAGCCCGGCCTTGCAGTCCGCAAGGCTTTCCTTTCACCGGAACCGGCTCTGCCCCCGAATGGGAAAGCCACGGCTACACTCTCTCCCCTCATCCCTTCCTGTGGAGGGAGGAAGGAAAGAAGGAAAGAAGGAAGGAGATGAGAATGAGAAGAAGGAAGGAATAGTTAAGTCTGTTCACTAGGAAGAAGCTTATGGAAAAGTTTGCCTGCAAATATAAATACAAATGACATGTGAATGCTTGCCTTTCAAACAGGAGGTAGATAAATGCTTGTCGTTAGAAACATTTCCATGCATTTATATTAGGCTGTACTCTAAAAGACCTTTCAGACAAATATGTCATCAAGATATTCAAAGCAATGTAATCCTATCCCATTTCATCTATCAACAGCACAGATTTAATATCTTACAGCTGTGTGTGTCAGAATATTCAGGCAGATTAGCCAGCTGATAGCAAAGTAAGGAGGAAGGAGTGGGTGTGAGAAAGAAGGGCTTGTCTTTAACCTAATGAGAAATGCAGAAGGAAGGAAGGAGGGAGAGAGGGAGAGAAGGGAGGGAGGGAGGGAGGGAGGAAGAAAGGAGATGGGAATGAGAAGGAGGGAGGCAGGGAAGGACACCCCTGTTTTAACCAATGAGCCATTTTGCTGCCCCATCAAGAGGTAACTGAGGCACATATAATTACACCATGGGTTTTTTTTAATCTACTAAACCCATAAAGATGAGACAAGTTCTCTAGCATTCCACACATCAGATGATTTTCTGCACCCAAAAATCTCACTCTTACGTCATACTATATACTCACCATGTAAATAAATATTGAACCCTACTGTAACTTCCCAGATCAAAATTGCAGCATTTCTCAGTCTCACCTGTGAGTAATAGATTTTAGCAGAGTCCAAAACACTGGCTGAGGAAGTCGTCGCTCTCCATGTTTTTTCCCTTTTGCTCCAACCTCTGCTTTGATGTGCTTAGCGTTCAAACCATGCACAAACACAGCCTCCAATACACAACAAAGAGTATTAGCATCTTGATCATCACTTGTTACAACAGCATCAGAGGTCACATAATGCTTCTGCAGGGCCTTGATGGAGTTCACCAGCTGCTTCTTGATCAACTAAAGTAACATAAATGCAGGACGTCTTAGGTTGCACCAAGATTAAATAAACCATCCCACTTCCAAATTACTATTAATACTGTGCAAACACTGGCATATCTCAATGGGTGAATATAGTAGTAAGGTCTGGGCAATGCAGTTCAAGAAAGATGCTAAAAATAGAAAGTATATGAAAAACAATAATGCAGCAAATAAACTAAGTCTTATTTGAAATGGATCATTTGCTTTAATTTTGATGCAGCATGGGTTGGAAACATTCAAAGTTTTGGTCTCAGTTAATAAAAATACTTTTAAAAATTATTATATTATGAATGATCTCTTGAGGCAGAAGACAGGAAGCTGATTAAAGACATTTCAATAAGAGCCAGTATCCCTGGCTCTTATTTTCTTAAAGGTGATGCAGACTAAAAGCACTATTTCCAACATCTACTCTTTCAAGTTATGCAAAGTGCTTCACTTGGAGCCGATTTTTAAAATACCACATTGAGCAACGTGTTTTAATCAGCTTCCATTTCTTTCCAAAGTTACAGTACAATTCATAGATTTTCTGCTATTGGAAAACCAGTTGTTTTTATTGACAAGTAATAAATAAATAAAAAGTGGTGGTGGGGAAGGTAAATTTTGTAATTGTACCTAATTTTCCCTATTCACACTGTAACCCCATACTGCAGTTTTCCTCATTTTCCTCTGTCATAATGTTGAAGCCCAGTAATATAATAGTCCCTTTGTTCCCTTTTCCCATCTTACTCACTTCTCTTGTGGGAGATTGGGTTGTTGCTTTGATAATGGAGCACTCAGTTGGTGTGGGTGGAAAACTATGACCATCCTAGACCAAGCCAAGTCCAAAAACGCTAGGGAATTTTTAGAAATCTAGCAGTCTGACAAGTTAGCCATTAATAGACACATAGACATAAACAATATCTATATACTATGCAAAAGAGACAATCAACAAGCCAAAAAAGGAACAAAAAGACCAGAACACTTCCCCACCATCAATCCAAACCCAGATAAGCATGGTTAACTCCAAGATTAACATCAGACCAACAATCAAGTAAACAATAGTTCAATCTAGGAATTGCAAACAAGTCAACAGTAAACAGCTCAACAAAAGAACCTCTAAGACCACGCCCACCAACAATGACAAGATAAGCCACCAGAATATAAACAGAGAGCAAGCCCCACTCCTTACTAGCACTGATGATGTTGCCTAGTTCGGGTAATGAAACATCTGCAAGAAAACAAGCTCAGAAAGCAACAATGACCTCTAATAATAGTGTTGTAAAAAAAGGTGGTTTAGATGATGAAGATGGGCTTTAGAGGAAAATACATGAAGGTATTAATGGGAACATAAGAAAATTAGAGAATAACTACCAATTAGCAATACCAATTAGTACCAATTGGTATTAATAACTACCAATAATGTTAGGCTTTGCTTTGAAAACTGGAAGGTGACCCAATGTGCTGTGTCCAGAATAAATCGATCTTTAAGATTGAATTATGTATAATTGACAGAAATATCAAATTCTTCGACTTACGACCACAATTGAACCCACAGTTTCTGTTGCTAAGCAATATAGCGGTGATAGTTAACCTTTTCGGCACCAAGTGCTGAAACTGGAGTGTGTGCGTGTGTGCCGGAACCCATAAGACAGCAGCTGGTTGGTGCGCATGTACTCTTCTGCATTCCGGACAATGGTCTCTTCCAGGTTCTGGTGCGCACATGCACCAGAACCCAGAAGTGCAGCTGGCGACGGCGTGCCTGCCCACAGAGAGGGCTCTGCGTGTCACCTCTGGCACGCATGCCATAGGTTTGCCATCACGGCAATATAGTAATTAAGTGAGTTGCATGACCTTTTACAATCTTTTTTGCCATAGTTGTTCAGTGAATCACTGTGGTTTTTAAGTGAATCTGGCTTCCTCCATGATTTTGCTTGCCAGAAGCCAGCTGGGAAGGTTACAGTGATCATATGACCCCAGAACAGTGCAACTGTCATAAGGACATGCCAGTGGCCAAGTGCCCAAATCCTGATCATGTGACTATGTGACCATGGGGATGCTACAGTGGTTTTAAGTGTGAAAACTATTCATTAGTCACATTTTCAGTAATATTGTAACTTTGAATGTTCACTTAACAAATGGTTGCACATCAAAAACTACCTGTATGCCATCTATCCTTAGAAATTATACCATTTCCATGTTAAACTCAGCTCTTTAATCTGACGAAATTCTTCACCAACTGGGCATGTCCCTATATCCAAAACAGCCTTTTTTCCAGATATCAGTTCAAGAATCTGTACTCACCTGGATAACTTCCTGTGCTCGGCAGCCATTCCTAGTTGTGTGGTTGGAATGCATGTCTAGCTTTGTTTCTGTCTCACACTGACATCACATGATAACCTGAGGAAAAATAAACACAGAGTAGAATTTTTACCAGAGCGCCACATAAGCAAAGCATAATTACTAGTAAATAGTCTAGGCTATGTGTCACTTTCCTACTTATTTACCCAAAAGTAGATATTAGTGAGTGAATATACATTTGAGTATGGATGGGGAGAGAAGAGTTGGCAAGATCTTTCCAACTGTCCTTCCGATTTAGATTTGCTGAGTTGTGACAGAAGCGTCTTTATTTGTGAAGAATAAAAAGAAATATTTTCCATGATGGTAATGACTAAAAAACCTGGCTTATTATTGAGAGTTTGATTAGACAACTTTTTGGTTCTTCTTAATAAAGCTTTTAATGACCAGTAATAATTCCTCTCTCCCTTAAGAAGAATAAAAGAAACTGGCCTAAAACATGCAGGTGCCACAACATTATAAGCAGAACATAAATCAGCCACAGAAACACATTTATGAAGCAACAGTTCTAGGTGACTCAAGCAAATGTGCACTGCCCTATATAGTTTATCCCAAAATCAACCAATAATAAAATTGTTTCACCACCCCAAATTTCATGATTTGACAGAAACCCACTTGAAGAATCTAGAAGTATTTGAAATGTGGATTTACAGATGGCTGCTATGTATAAACTGGGTTAACAAAATCACAAATGAGGAGGTGATAAGCCACCTGGGAAAGCAAAGGGAAATCATCAAAGCCATTAAAAAGCAAAAGTTAGAATATTTTGGATGTGATGCGACACCCAGAAAAATATGGCATCCTTCACTTAATCCTCTAGATTGAAGGCAAATGAGGTCCAGGAAGAAGAAGAACAGCATGGCTTCAAAACCTAAGGGACTGGTTTGGACAAAACTCAGCACTTTTTCATGCGCTGTTGACAAAAATAGGATTGCCAACATCCAATGATGGATATGGCACAAGAAGAGAAACATACTTCCAGCAAGTTTTTCAAAATTCCTGGGAACTTGATTCCCCACAATACTTAGTAAAGTGTTAAATTTCTTGTTACATTACAACTCCCTTCCTTTTTTCCCTCCCTTTATTTCATTTCCTCTGAAGCCCACTTACCACAGCTAGAGCCCCAGGATGTTACAACTCCTTTCCATTCTAAAACAAAACACAAACTGATACCATGATGATCGAACACCATGTATTTCATTGAGATGGGTGAGTTGTCTGAATAGGGTCACAGAGGCTCAGGAGACCAAGGGCAAAAGCTGCATTGCTCCTCTGGAGTAGGGGTAGAATGGAGAAAATAAGCCCCTGATCTTGAGGTTCATCTTGTCACAAGACTTCCTGAACTCTGAACACTGCAGTTTTAAAAGCTGAGCGCAGCAATCACACTGTGAATTTCTTTTAAACTCTGACCTCCTATTGATGGAAAGAAACTTCACCTCTTCATATTTGCACAGACTAGGTTTCCTTCCATGGACAGCAAAAACATAATGTAGTATAGTGCTCACATCTTTGGAACCTCACAAATCCAAATTAAAATCTGTTCCTGGCTGATTCACTGGATGGGCTTTTAAGACTACCCCCCCCGTCCCCACCGCTTTCCATTAAAATATATTTGCAGCAGAATTGCTGATAGGTTTATTTTCCAGCATTATGGGAAAAATTGGGACCATAGTCAAGTGGTAGAATGCTACTCTGCAAACAGAAAGCGGAGTTCAATACTTAGCAACTCCAGCCATAATGCTTTGAAAATCTCTGAATAAAACCTAGTGATTTCCTGCACAGATTGGCACCTAGGCAACTGCCAGCTACTTTAAACTTCAACTCCTGTCAAACCACTCAGTCCAGTCAATGGCAAGGGAATGTGGGAGTCATTCATCATGAGGACCCAGTTTGTGGGGGCAATAAGCTGATTTTGTATAAATATACAAAAGTATGAAGGCTATTGCTTAACGCATTGTAAGCCGCCCTGAGTCTCCGGAGAAGGGTGGCATATAAATCAAATTAAAAAAAAAAAAATCATTCTAAATAGCAAGAAATTGCCTAGTCAGGCCTGGACAGTATTAATCTAGATAGATCATTGACAGAAAGCACTCACAGCACTTTTTGAACAGGTAGAGAGAGCAAAGGTTGGTACTTAATGACAATGCTCCAAATTTTATTTTCCGGGTCTTAAATCTAATAGAGGAAAATGTATTATGAAAATGTATCTGTAAGCATACAGGATGATTTTCTTTCCCATCCCCCAACTATACTCATTTTATTTACCGAATTAAATTGCCTACACAATTTATATTTTCCTGACAGCCTCTTTTCTGCCACGCACAAAGACATGACAAAGCAATTTTGAAACCTTTGTGCCCAGTTTTACAACACTTTTTGAAATTGTTTCCTTGAACAGAGTTCAAATTTGAACTATTTGTAGTTCAAATTTGTGCAAAAATCTCCACAATTTTTTCTTTATTATTCTCAAGTACTGACTCTGAATACTTATAATTAACATTATGTTATTATAAAGTAGCCAACATAGGATGAGAATCTAGGGAAATCCATTTGGAAGAAAGGACACTGAATGCCCATAGATCTATGTATTTACATATGTTACTTGGAAGAAATGATATTCAGTTACTTAGATAACTTTCTGTAAACTCTCAAAAACTAAGCAGGGTCAGACATGTTTAACACTGAGATGAGAGACTGAGATTAGAGATGAAAATTGAGGCAACAACCCCAGAATAATGTTGCCAACAACATGAATCCTGAGATTCCAATTTGAGATAGACTATGTTTTAAGATCCAGGTATAAAACACACTGCACACAAAAACTCTGTCCCAAAATACATGAGCAATAAGCAAACCAGTATCTTTCCTCCATTATTTCAGATATATTATCACACATAACAAGCTTGTTTTCAGGATGCATTTAGGTCCTATCTACACACTCCAGACACATCTGAGGGCCCTTTTAAATGTTTACGCATGAACAGGGATGAGAACATATGCTGCTTGACACAAACACTTGTGGTTTGTGAACTGCTGAATGTATTGACAAATCTGGAATTTCTTACTGTTATCTTGGCTTCTCATTCTGAAAAACACCAGGCAAAATGCCAATACGAGCAACAGCTCCAAGGCACAGTTGGAAATATAAGGAGATATTGAAAGAAACACTATTGGGGAACAGAGAGGGGGAGCAGAAAGAATCTTGTGGCACAAAGCAGTGCAAGCTCTCACTATAATGGAGCCATAGCTTTCTGAACAAACACAATAGCAAATACATACTATATCTCAATGGACACTAATAACAATGCTTGATCAGACTGAGTGTGAGACACAGTGCCACCTGGTTTAACCATTTGTTAGAATTGAACCGTTAGATTAAAACCAGTGTCTGAGGGTATAAAGATGCCTACACTTATCTGATACAACCCTTGTCAATTTTGAAACGGTTCAGGCCTGATGCAGCCATCTTTCCATTTCTCAGATTGCCACACAGTGTGGCAGGGGGAAAGTCTGGAATGTCAGCCCAGATGACAACAACAGACCATCCCAAGGAAACCAAGGTCATCTCAACAGGTGCTGGCTAGAGAATGAGGGAAGTTGCCAAGGAGATACCAGAACACCTAATTGGACAATGTGACTTTTGACCATAAGGGAGGGAATTATCTTTGCCTTAATTATACTGAAACCGCAAGAAATATTTAGAGCTAATTTTATTTCCATTTGTACCGAAATGACATACTCAATAAAACAGTCCTTTGAGAAAGCTGAAAATCTCAGAATGCGGATTGGTTTGGGTTCATCACTCGGAACCTTGACAGCTCTCTGGTTTAAAAGCAGAAACTTTCCAAGGCATATTGGAATCATTTTTATCTTTAAAAATAAAATAGTCCAAATACATGATAGGCAAAACTGCATCCAAATGTATAGTGTGAGTACAATCAGACCTGTAGATCTTACACTGCAAACACAGATTCTGACATGACAGATAATCAGTCGCACCACTCCACTTTCCTTAATCTCACAGACTATAAAACAGCATTAGCTGTGTCTGCTAGTCATGTCTCAAAATTAGTACTTTGAAACAACAAAGATCATCTCAAGGGTGGTCCAATTCCTCCTTCTGTGGATCAGCTCTCTTTAGATGGGAGCAGATGATAAGATACCAAGTCAGCATTTTTGGACAGAAAACTTTTAAACAACTAAAGCTAAATCACTCAGTAATCACTCATAACCTGGAAACTTAAGCTATTATTTCCCAGGCATGATTGTGTATTGTTCCACATAACATGATGATAAAGCTTTTCCCATCATCTGATTGAAGCTGCCTTCTTGCATTTTAAGTTATGATTCACTATGCTGAAAAGGAAATTTATCAGATGCTGAGCTTGATCTCTATGATGATGGGGAAGAGTTTAAGAATTTTTTCTTTTTATTACATTTTTATTTTATTCAAGACAAGATTAAAATAGAAAATTCGAAAGAAAAAATCCCAGAGAAAACAAAAAAAGAAAAAATAAGTTTAAAAAAACACAAAACAATCAAAACATTTTAAAAAGGTGCATCAAAACAACAACAACAATACATATTATATCTTCTAGTTCAATACTGATCCTACATTAGTACATTAGTTCCCACCTCTTATGATACAGGCCTTCCCAAAAATTTTAAACTATTAAATCTACTTGCAGATTATTGACTGTTTTCTATATGTTATATTAACAACAAAGTAGCTAACAGGAATAATAATAATACCAAAACAAAATTAAAGTTTCAAAACATTTTGTTAACAAAATGTTATTGTATTCCACTCATAGAAAGTTTACCAATGCATGTTATCTATCCCAAACCAAAAATTCAATAGAAATAAACACCAGATATTTTGTAAATTCAAAAAATACGGAATCCAGTGGTGAGAGTCTGAGAGCTCTTCTGCGGCCATGCTTCCATACAGAAGGGACAGAACAACATATACCAAAAAGAAAAAAGAAAAAGCAATTAAGAGTCCAGCAAGGGGTTGAAATAAGTCAGCATTCAACCACTAA